TTCTTGCTGTGACATAACAGCACTAACCACTGCGCCACCGAGCTGTCAATCCAGGCTTAACAAAAGTAGGAAAGCTATTACAAGGCTTGATGCAGAATTTTCTTTACATTTGTCCTTGACACGTTAAACCACAATAAATAGCAATAGCATACACGTGGTGCGTGGATAGTTGTCTGCCTCTTATAACCCCAGTGAGTTTCCTGTGGTTTGAAATCTCATGTGATTTTGTGAGTCCAGGCAACTAACCACTCTTACTAGATTATATCATGTCTTCTCAACAAGAACAAATTAAGTTGTTGAATTTCATACAGATCCTACATGGTTTACCATAGAAACATGAAATTATTTTGTCCAAATTACAAATTAGACTTTTATAAATGTAACAACCACCCAATTTTCCTTTTTTGAGTGTGGTTTCATCCACTTTATATATGGTTTAATGGGCCAAAACGCCCTCTCGTCTATTTCTTTGCCAATTTCCTGTCATTCGATCGTGGCTCAAGAGTTGGGAGGTCACCTTGTAATCGGAAGGTTGCCGGTTCGAGCCCCGGCTTGGACAGTCTCGGTGTCCTTGGGCAAGACACTTCACCCGTTGCCTACTGGTGGTGGTCAGAGGGCCCGGTGGCGCCAGTGTCCGGCAGCCTCGCCTCTGTCAGTGCGCCCCAGGGTGGCTGTGGCTACAATGTAGCTTGCCATCACCAGTGTGTGAATGTGTGTGTGAATGGGTGGATGACTGGATATGTAAAGCGCTTTGGGGTCCTTAGGGACTAGTAAAGCGCTATATAAATACAGGCCATTTACCATTTACCATTCCATCCTGTTTGCTAGAGTGACCTAACAAACTAAATGCACAGTGTTTCTGAATGATATATACCCCATGCATCAGTTTTCTAAACTTCTGTCTTCTGAATAACTGTGATTCCCTACACTTCATAAACATCTCTACCGTCTGTTCAGGTCCATCTGACCTGTTCTGGTCAGATGGCACAGAGGTGGTTTTTCTAAAAATGACTATTTCTGCTTGTCCTTTAATGCTGAGATGAGATTGTCTCTCTCAGAACATTAAAGTGTTCTCACTAAAGTTCTGGGTCACATCATTAGTCAAATTTGAATTTGAATAGACTTGTTAGTCACTCCGTTTTGACAATCAGTTACTTGTTTTTATTCAAGTTTATGTGTCTCGTCACAAAAATAGGGCACACTTTGAGAAATAGTAATTAGGAGGAGGTTTTATTGTTCTCAGTGTTTTGTCATGGGTTAAAGATTAAAGATAAACTGATTAATCAAGTGTTCATATACTGTAAACGTTAGAGTTATTTGAATGTTTAACAATCAGTCGACTATTAATAATTGGTAGTGATTAATATTGCAACCCTAACAACCTAATGACCCAAACTGTCTCCTTATACAGGCTCTAAAACGTCGTTTATCAAAGTTAGTTGAAAGTTTATGATAAAAGTTGAAATAATGCTCAAACCAGCTATTAAATAATTAGCTAACATTATGAATTGCCATTTCTTTGTTCATTACCAGTTAAAAAATAATAAAACAACCCAAGTTTAATCGCATATAAATTCACACTGTTACTCGCCATTACCTTTGATTCAGTGCTTGATTGATTTATGTGCTTTCAAGTTTACTAAACAGAAACAGAGATATTGTTTAGGACTTAGAACTTAAATTGTCACCAGCAGGCACACGTGAATTTGGCTTTGATGGGAACTGACTCTATAATGTTCATGTCATCACGAGAGGAAATAGTCAGTTATGTAGTTTTATGCACTTAGTGTTGCAAACAAAGAAGGTGATGTTCATCTTTGTGTACCCATTAGTATGCGGTTCTGTGTGAGTCTGAGTCTTTTGTCTGTGTTGGCGTTTGTATTTGAGGTGCACTACTAGCATTCCCTTTGGGACAGTGGATCAGGCAATTTCCTGTTAAAAAAATTCTACCTGATCTAGAAAGAGAGAGTGCTGTGTAATCTTTAAAAGCTAGCCCTTGGGCTCAGTATAAAACATCTGATGAATACAGAGAAGCTGGAGTGTGTATGTGCATGTGCATGTATTTGCGCACACGGTTGTGTTTATGTGTCTCGTACTGCCGCAGCGTTGCTTGTGCTGCTGTCTGAAGCCTATATTTGCCTCTGGGGGCTCTGTTACCACTGATGCCAGAGCAAAGTTCACCTCTGCCAAGGTTATGTACATAAAACAAGTGCTTGACAAGGTTACGGATGTAACTTATATATTTGTGTTGGCCTTGGAGAAATTATCTCAAACTCTGATTGCTTTTTTTCAGTAGCCAGGGTCTTAATTTAATGTGTTAAGTCAACAAAAATGTTACACTTTCCTTTATCTGTCTGCAAAGGATTACACTTTCTATGCTCCACTTTCTCTCTGGGTTTATGTTTACAAATCATCCATTTAGCTTAAACTGAATAAAGCTCAAAGAGTGCAGCAGAGAATTACCTTTCAGGGATGTAGAAGGATAAGGAGTAAATCTGATAATGAAACGTTGGACTTTTGAGGCCAATAATGAGACATTTAGCTTTAGCATAGCAGAATTTAAATGAATCAAATATAATTGCTGTAATTTATAGAAATAAATACACATCCAGTCTTTACAGATGAAAAATGGATATGTCATAGCTTTCTGATTGGCATATGATGAAATTATGATGCCTTTTAAAGTGGCCTACATCTTGTTGAAAACTGTCTCTCAGATATCTTTAAAAATCTGCAGAGGTTGTCATTACAAGTGACTCTAACACCCATTAAATGTTAAGGCACAGTTTATCAGTTTATTTCAAATTAAGTGCTGTGATCATTCCTCTGGTACTTAAAGGTTTACTCCAATTAGTTACAGACGAGAGTCACTTTAAAGGTCTTGGTGAGTATTATGGAATTGTGAGCGATAGTGCATTGTGTATGTGCTTTTTCCCATTATGTTGCAGAGCTAAGTTGGCTTGCCACTTGACCAGTGTTCTGCAGGGGTACTTTAAACTTCATCTAAGTTACTGTGTCCATCTCTGAAGCAGCACCCACGTTGGAAGCAGTGCAGCGACTAGAAATCATAGAATGTGAATAATATTTGGCTATTTCACGCGACTCCAGGTGAAACCATTGGCAAAGTAACCTGGGCAGAACCCAAGATAAACTTTTGACAACTTCCAGGCAACTGATTGAAGGGACTACCAATGAGAATGCAGTCTAATATATGACCTAGTAGTAAATTCATTAGAGGGTTATAGTTAACAGATGTCAGCTTCAAAGAGACACGCAATGAGCAACTTCCTTGAAGTGTGGCTGAAACTTTATTCATTACCCTTTGGTTTGTTTTTAACTTTCAACATGCATTTCATGAGTAGCTTTACATATTGTTTTACACCACTAATACAGATTATTCTGATTTATACTTAGTTAAACAAATCTATATTAAGTCTTTACTAGTCCATTGTTCTGATCTGGTCATATCAAATTGGGGCTTGTTCAGGAATTAAACGCGATCTCTGTACAAAGACATGACCTAAGCACAAATCTGTATCGTGATTTGCTTTAGGCTAGCAGCAGAAGACTTCTTTCAGTGCTACTAGGACAATAATCTTAGATTAAAGCAGTGAACTGTCCATTGTTGGCGGTCGTGGCATATTTGACAAAGAAGAATTTGTAAAAAGAGAGACACTCTGCTGCACTGATTCTGATATTTTTTAAATAATGCACATTGTGAGTGTTACAGGAGTTCAGTGCTGAATTGGTGCACTTCCCTTTTAAAAAAAAATAGAAAAAGTACCAGATACCATTACACCACCAGCAGCCTGAAGCACTGATACAAGGCAGGGTTGGATCCATCATATGTAACCCTGTCATCTAAATGTTACGCTGAAAATTGAGACTCATGAAAACCATGAGTGAAAAACACTCTTTCAGGCTTCTATTGTCCGCTTTTGGTGAGCCTGTTCAATCTGTAGCCTCAGTTTCCTGTTCTTAGCCGACGAGTAGTATGCAGTGTGGTCTTTTGCTGCTGTAGCTGATCTGCTTCAAGGTTTGACATGTTGCGTATTCAGAGATGCTCTTCTGTATTACTGCAACAAGTGGTTATGGCAACCATGCCACATTCAAAGTAGCTTAAATCACCTTTCTTCCAAATTCTGATGCTCAGTTTGATCTTTAGCAGGACATGTTGACTGTGCTTACATGCTTATATACACTGAGCTGCTTCTGTGGTATTGGCTGATTAGAAATCTGTTTTAATGAGCAGTTGAACTGGTGTACCTAATAAGGTTACTCCTGGTAATTAGGTTTAGCAAAAATTAGGCTTAGTAAAAAAGTTGTTGCTGTTTAGAAAATGCTGGTTATGGGTTAGATGCTTAGTGAATTGAATATGTGATAATAGTGATGCTCTATATTTTTGCATGGAAATGTCTTCCTGTAGTTTAATGTGAATGTGAATAATGTTGTAGCTATGAAACAGAAATAAGGCACAAGCAGTGTGTGAGTTTCTTAAAGCTAAGCGGTGTGCATACACACAATGTATGAAACTTTCAGATATTATTTCTTGAATTTTCTGCTTTGGTTAGCAACACTTTTTTTAAGACTTACGGTGCTTTTCCTCATTCACACAACACTTTACAGGGATATCTTTGTCTGTCCAGTATCCTGTCATAGCATAACTTAGAGTTTGTACGCAATCTGCTCTACCTCCTGAGTTAGAGTTAACTAAATATTCTTGACATTTAAAATACACAAGTTCCCGTGCACCCAGAGATTTGTTTTGGAGGAAACACAATAGATATTAAACACAAGTTTATGAGAGATGTTCATCAAATTATTAGTTTCATGTGACGAAGTAAACAGGTCTTGAAATGAAAGTTATGTGAGCTATTACTTTGATATAAACTGAATCAGGAATTGAAGGCTGTGTGAACAGGATGACGCCTTCTTGTCTGCTAGAGAATTTAAACAAATTTAAAAAATGATTGTGTGCTTCCCACTTCTCTGTCTTGCAGGCGGAGATCGTTAAACGGCTGAACGCAATCTGCGCCCAAGTCATCCCCTTCCTCTCTCAAGAGGTAAGACTCAAAAATGCCTGTCACTGTGAGTTAAGAAGGAGGTGGGTGAGAGAGAGTCAGAGAGCGGGAGGAAGGGAGACAGGAAAGGGGAGAACTGTGTGGTGGATTTTAAAGCAAGAGAAAGAAAATATGGGGACACGCACACACACGCAGACACACACTCGTACAGATTATCCTGGGCTAATCCCCCCTGCTCAGGATAGACAGATATGCTCTGAACTTATCAAATGTCTCCCACTAACATATGCAGGAGCCAGCGGCTGAGTGTGTGTGAGAAAATACTTTTTGTGTTAAAATACATTATAATTGTGTGCACATACAGCAGTGGGTGTGAGAAGTGTTTTTATGCAGTGTTTATTGTGAAATTTTTAGGCGTGCGTGTGTTGAGCTGATAAATCCTTCCTCTGAGGAGCTGACAGTGTGTGTGTGTGTGTGTGTGTGTGTGTGTGTGTGTGTGTGTGTGTGTGTGTGTGCTGAGGGGTGGGAACAGCAGGAAGGAGTGAGTGTGGACTCCAAAAGCTCTCCTCCAGATTAGCCATGGATTAGGAGGGTTTAGGGTGGATTAGGAATAATGGCATTAGACTGTGGTGCTGCTACACAGCCCTGAGGCCTGCAGAGAGGGGAGGCAGGGAGAGGAAGCTGCTTTGTTTTGGTGCACAGCCTTGTTTACTGCATGTGCAAGTAAATGTAACACATTCATATTATTGTTGTGCAGCAAATCACATCGACTGTGTCTGTGTATTTCTGGTGAAAGCGCTTTGTTTTCTATTTTTATTTTTGTCATTTTCTGATAGTGTTTCATTGGCCTTTGGGGCCATGTAAGTATGATTGGTCCATTTACAGCAAAGGCAATAAGTTTCTGTTAAGTCAGTTGACAAAAATGTTATTTCTGACAAATTTATAAAGAAAAAATATACTTGAGTAAATAAAATCCCCCAATTAACATAACACATAAATAGAATCATTATCATGAGGCAGATTTTATGTCTCTGCCATAAAAAGGCCCCTTTTTAAAGATCACATATGCATTCCTTGATTGACATTTACATTTGCAAGTAAGGTAAGGCAACAAAAGTGCCATCTGTTTCTGAAAGTTTTGGAATAACTACGTCCTTAAAGTGGACCAGTTATACTTTTTCTTATTATAACTCTTTATCAAACAAGTATCATACATACCAGCTGGACTTATTTTGGAGTTTTGGCTGTAAAATTACAAAATAATTCTCATATTTCACCAAGCATTAAAATTTTCTCTCTTACCTATAATGGTTGAGGAGTTACAGTAATGTGAAGCGCACATGATAGCATCTAGTTGGAGCTAATTTTTCTGTCGGTGTTCAGACAGAAGTACTTCAGGAATACAGTGGGAAACCACGACACACAGAATATCTCCATAAATGTGGTCTTCTCTTCTTTATGAAACCATTTCAATTTTATCTCTAGCACATCGCTAGAGTTATGATCATTTAAAGCAGCGGTCCACAACCTTTTCTGCGCCACGGACCGGTTTATGTCCGACAATATTTTCATGGACCGGCCTTTAAGGTGTCGTGGATAAATACAACAAAATAAAACCAGTACCGGTACCAAAAAAAAGATTTATTCATAAAACACGGGAAAAGACCCAGGGAAACCGAGTTAACGATAAAAACGATAAACTGGAGATCTCCGAGGTCCTGATCAACTGTGATTCTGGGCCAGCTGTAGTAGCTTGCGTTTGAATCTGTTGTGTTTGTGTGACACATTAAGGAACGATTATTTTAACTCTTCCTGCATATTCTTTGTTTATTTTTTAGTAAATCATTCCTTAACAATGTGAGAATACACTGTAACGAACTGTCAAAGTGATAAATTTATCCTCTGCAGCTGCACAAAGTGTAACTATAGGGCAGCAGTACAATCAGCGCACTCACCAGACTTCACAGAATTCTTGAAAATATCCATAAATGGGTCTGTTAATTTGATCTGAGGACTCAGGATAGTCACTGTAGGAAGGTAACTGAATTGTTCATGTTCAGGGATCCTCATTCCCTTTGGTGTACATCCCATCTTTCCCTGGTGAACTCTGAGGCCCTGGTAACTTGTCGTTTTGGACCAGCCACAGTGGCAAACCTGAAGACTCATTTTGGATGAGTTGAGTATCTGAAGTAGACAGAAAAGGGTGTAAACAACAGGGAAACCAGTAAGAGTTCAATTATTAAAAATACATGCACAAGAAATAAAGAAAAAAAAGAAAGAAGAAAGAAAAAAGAGAAGAAAAAAAAAAAAACGATCAACAAATAACGATAAAAACCCTGAAAACCATAAATTTCACACACGAGCCTCAACTCTTGCGGCCCGGTACCAAACGACTCACGGACTGGTACCGGTGCATGGCCTGGGGTGTTGGCTGATTTAAAGAGCACTTGTAAGCACTTGGGCACACCACCTGGCCGCTAGTTAAAACTATGGATCTTTGTGATGTCAAAGAGAGGAAATATTCTTAATATGCTCTTCTCAGAAGTGGTGGTTATGTACTTGGTCATGTCTGGTACACAGCTCTGGTGATGTGCATAGCAGGGACCCAGTCCACCTGCTTCTCCTACCATCTGTTTTCAAGGTGCAGTTGGGTGGGGTGAGGAATTACGCTAAGCTATTGTAGCAGTTTTCAAAAATGAAAATCTGAAACTGGAAATAAGCATAATTTGTAAAATCTGGCATTTAGTTACTCGTTATTTACATGTTCCTCGGTTGTTGCCATATCCCCAGTGAGGAATCATTCCTCTGATTTCAAGGTGTTCATGTGCTTTTGAGTTGGAAGGGACACCAAGATGTGTTTAAGTCAGTTGCTCAGAGTAAAAGAAAAAGACACGTTGTTCTCTGCGAATAACTGCCTTGCCTGACTTCTTACTTGACTTACCTCAAACAAATACCTCCATGCTTATCTAGTTCCCTCCTTGTGGTTAACAGCAACCAGATATTTACTTAAACTCACCATATTTTTATGTATGACATTAACAACTCAGCAGATCATGTATCAAAAATTTCTGAGCTGATTTCTGAGCTCTTCATTTGAACTTTCTCAGTCAGAAAGTCAGTTTTTGCTCTTGTTAAGCTACCAAATGAATGCACAATTAATTTGATATAATAATTTTAGTAAATTTTGTCTGCTTTACTGTGTTGGTTATTAACCCGAATAATTAATCACTGAATAGGTGAAATCTAAAAGTATTTTGTATGATTGTATGTGCTTTTGGCTACTCCTTTATTTCCCAAGGGGGCCACCACAGTGGATGGATCCCCATATTTTCATTTTGACACAGATTTTATGCCAGATGCCCCTCCCAAAAGAACCATCTCATTTATCCAGTTTTACAACCAGCACTAGGAATACATTACCGTGTAACCTCCTCCCCGAGGCTAGATTTTTGTCCCCTCCAAGTCCCAAAACAGGTGTAAAGTGAATATGTTAATCACTAAACAATCGAGCCACAGTTTTGCTGTGATTGCAGGTATTGTTTCATATTTGGAGTCAGATTTTCCCTTACAGTTTTACAAGAAATCATAAGTAACCAATCCTCTTTAGGCAAATACAAAAACAATGGTGAAACATTTATTCTGTAAGAAAATCTACTTCAGTGCACTGAATCCTTCGTGCCATCTGAAGGCAACAGAATATGTACATTGGTAAATATAGAGCCTCTAAATTCAGACATCCTCTGTCAGAGTGCAGAGGCATTATGCAAACTATCACTGATTATCTACGTTCAGTCCTGTGCAAATTTTAACAGGCTGCTAGGATACGACCCTCTACAACTCCATCTCATTAGTATCGCGCATCATGTTGTCCTTCTCAACTTTTTTCAGTTTTCTCAGCTTTTCGTATTTACTCTTGAAATGCATCACAGTGTCTGAGGTAGACTTATTATTTTGATTTCTTTCTCTTAAATGCCCCCCCCCCCCCCTTCAATACCTCTTTGAAAATGGTTTACCTCACCAAGCCTTTAACTTATACTAGCAACATCTGCACATCTAAAACTGCTTCCCCAAGCGTGACATTCCAGTGGAGCCTATGGTGTAACAATATACAAAGAAATGAAAAGCATCTGCACAGATTGAACTCTAGTGTTGATTATACGACAGATTTTGGATTGTTCTATTTTTTTTTAGAACTGTTGCATAAAAAGTGTTTGGCACAATTTATATAGGGGATCATTCCATGTGTGTGTGTGTGTGCGCGTGCGTGTGTGTGTGTCACATTCAGGCAGGTTAGTCTGAGCCTGCAGAGGTGTAGCTGAACTCGATGGTCAGGTTCATTTCCACACCTGATAAGCTCTTTCATCTCGGGCGTACTTTGATGTTTTGCGCTCCTGGATGAATCTCGCTGCTCTCTCACTGTCTGGATCTGTCTTCCTCTCTCTGTACCCTTTGTATGACTTTGCCCTGTTAGCTGTCTGCCTCTCTTGGTACCCATCTTTTTTCCCTATGTGTTGAACTCTTTGGAGCTGTTCAGTGTCGAGACGTGTGAGCAGACTGAGCAAAAATCAGAAAACAGTGCTGCATAAAATTTTAATAACAATCTCAAATCAGAAACATTAAACCAATCACAGAATCCACAAAATATTGTACGAGTCTGTAACTGAATTTTTGGCCACTTGTAATACACGTCTTTAACTGCCTCCTTTGGACATCCACTTGTTTGTTTGTTTTTTAATTCTCCTCCACGTAGAGGAAATCAACCAGCCTGTGCAGGTTACACTTGACTAACTAGTATACCCTAATTAGCTGCTAGCTGCTTCTTCTGCCTGATGACTTTTAATGAATGCACTGATGGGTGTCAGATTCTGAAGCGAAGCACTGAAGTGCAGTCATGATTCAATGGCCTCGGGGAATCTTGTCTGTCTGGCGTTTGACCTGATTCTGGTCAGAACCTTGAGTTTTAATAAAAAGGAAAAAATATATATCAAGTTTCAGGTGATTTTATAGCACGCTCGTGTTACTGAACATTGATATCTGTTTTAATGAGATTGACATATTTCACAGTCAGTACATTGTTAATTCTGAAGAAATTGCAGGCTGTGTGAAGTTACAGTGTGCAACTAACTGACAGCTGTGAATAAGGTTTGATAGGCAAAGCACAATGACGGATTCAGATGGAAAGCAGTTTAAAAGATATCACAGAATGCATTAGAATGATTGCTGTACGCATATGCAAGTTCAATGTGATGAAACGAGATAAGTTCCTGCTCATTTTACGTGTCCATTCCAGTCCATTTTAAATGTTGTTTGAATTTTGTAAAGATGTTGTTTGTAATAACTACAAAATTCTTTTCATATCATTCTTTTCTCCGTCTCAGCTGCTGTTTCAGTTTCAGTTTGTTTGTTTTTTGTTTCTGTGTGTCTCTCAGCATCAGCAGCAGGTGGTGCAGGCAGTAGAGAGGGCCAAGCAGGTCACCATGGCTGAACTCAACGCCATCATAGGAGTGGGTGTATTACACACACACACACGCAGACACACACAATTAAATACAAAATGCATAGATTATTTTTTTTACAGCAATGTTGGAGAGATTAATTGAAAAAGAATAATGTGAGGAGAAGAGTAAGTACAAAGTCAGATGTATTCATAATAATATACAATAAAACCAAAGTATTTTGTATAGTAGTAATAGCTAACTTCTTTCTGCAAGAAATTTGAATGTTTTAGCATCTTTCACAGAAATTGTCAGTTATATAAATATCACCGTTTATGTTGGCTGATAAATCAAAGGTTTTGGTGTTTTTGATCAAATTTTTAAAAAGTGTATCTGATATTTAACTATTCTAGCTGTAGTCTACATGTTTCAGTTGCTATCTTTTCCCCGCTCTATTTGAATGTGTTTTTCTTTCCTTCTCTTTCCTTTTATCACCTACTTATTTGTATTTTATCATGCATGATCTTTCAAGTCTTAATTGGTGTTTCTGTGTCTGGTTCAGCAGCAGCAACTCCAGGCTCAGCACCTCTCTCATGGCCATGCCATCCCTGTCCCGCTAACACCCCACCCAGCGGGCCTTCAGCCCCCTCTGCCTCCTGGGGCCAGTACTGCCAGCCTGCTGGCTCTGTCCTCTGCCCTGAGTCACCAGCTGCCACTCAAAGATGAGAGGAAGCATCACGATAACAACAGCGAACACACACGAGGTGAGGTCTGCTCTGTGTGTGCTGTTTTTATATAGCAGGTGTTGATTTTGGTTTGTGCGTGCTTGTTTCTGTGTGAGTCTTGGTCTCTTCATGACTGAAATTACCCTTGCATTTGTTACATCTGCTTGTATGTTCAAAGTCACAATTTGAGTTTTCAAACTACTGCTTTAAGGTTTACTCTAATTATGGTTTAGTCAAAAAGCGAGTTACCTGATTATCAGGGGCAAATTCTTACACAAGGTAGATACAAAGATACGCTCTCAGTTTGTTTACTGTAAAGGCAAAAAGAAAGCACACCCTCTGTCAGTTCTAAGGTTTCCCCAATTGGGATAAACCTATCTAGTCTTTTCAGCCAAGGTGTATCAGGTCTTAAAATCAGGTAAACACAATCTCAGTTAAATAACAACAGATGATATATTGCATCATGTCATTATTTAACAAAAACTAAGCCAAAACGCAGAAGCAGCCTGTGAAAATGCTTCAATAGCTTGTAGAACCACCTTTGACAGCAATAACTTAAAGTAATGCCTTCCTTTTGACAGTCTCTCACATTATTGTGGAGGCATTTTTGCCCACTCATCTTTGCAACATTGTTTCAGTCACCTGAGATTTGAGAGCAGACCTATATCTCCTGCTCTCTAAAGGTCCTGCCATAGCATTTCAGTTGGTCTGAGATCTAACTGTGCCATTGCTGCATCTTTTTTGCTTTTGTTGCTGTTGTGGATTTGCTGTTGTATTTAGAATCATTGTCCTGTTGGATTACCCAGTTTTAACCAAGCTTAAGCGTTCAGACAGATTGCCTCACTATTATTATAAAGAGGAGTTTGTGGTTAACTCGTTGACTGCAAGGTGCCCAGATTCTGTGATTACAAATCATCAACCCTGCATTGCTGTGTTCTACAGCTGATATGAGGTGTTTGTTTGGATATGCTCTGTTTGGTTAAAGCCAGATATGGCGCTGTGCATCACGGCCAGACATCTCCACTTTGGTCTTGTATGTCCTCGGACATTGTTCCAGGAATGCTGTGGTTTGTTCAGAAGGAACTTTGCTAACTTTAGCTGTGCTGCCATGTTCTCTTTATAGAGAAAGGGCTTACTCCTGGCAAACCTTCCAAACGAGCCATATTTGAAATTGCACTGTCAGGAACTTTAACAGTTGACATGCTAACTGAGGGCTGCAGAGTCAGGAATGTAGCTCTTTCTCTGTATTGCATTGCATGGTCTGATCTTAGGTAACATTTGCTGGGATAACCACTCCTGGGAAGATTAGCAGCATTCTTTTTTTTTTTTTTTTTTTTTTGTGTCCCGTTTGGATCTTTAGCCATCAGAATTGTTGTCTTAAGGCCAAGAAAGATGCCAAGCGGATTTATTTTACCAAGTGGATCATCATGGCCTTGCCATATTGGTCCATTTGATTGACCTTTATTATAATTATGAATTTATTTTATTTTCAGTTGCTACAAACGGGACAGACATGACTGGGGGATAGGACGGGGAGAAAGAATGAAAGAAAGAGAGGGAGAGAAAGAAAACCAAAGGGGAGAAGAGACGGTGAGAAGGGGGGGGGAAGAAAGAAAACAAACAAACAAACAAAAAAAACAAAACACCTGGGTCACCTGTATGGAGAAAAAAAACAGAAGAGAAAGCAAACAACAAAGAGCAACATAATAAAAAAAAAACCAGCACCATCACAATAAACTAGCTAGCAGTAGATATCAGTAGATACTAAATAATAAACGATATTGTGCAGCACGCAAGATAGACAGCGCACAATGTGCTTTGAGGCAGCAGCCAAGAAAGCTGTAGTCCGCGTCTGTGAATACCCGTGTGTACACCTGTGTGTACACCTGTGTGCATACCTGTGTGGATCAGCATGCTTGAGATTAGCAGCATTCTTGAATGTTTCCTGCTTGTGAATATTTTTTAATGATGATAATAGACTTCAGAATGTTTGGAAATGGCTTTATAAGACTTCCTTAATTAATGGGCAGCATCAATTGCTTCTCCAAGATAATTATTGATGTCTTTCCTCCTTGGCATTGTTTTAACACACCCCTGAATGTTAACGACGAGCAAACTGCCAAAGCCTCTGTTTTTATAGAGGTGCTCACACTTGCTGATGATCAGTTAATTAAATGGGTGTGCACAACCTGACTGCTACTTACTTACACACACTGCTTCTGTGTTTTGGCTTTATTTGTGTTCAACAAATAATTGCACAGTATAATATATCACATGTTGTCATTCAGCTGAGGTTTATTTCCCTCATTTAAAACCCGCTGAGGACAAGAGGTTTTGATTATGCCTTGATGTGTGCAGCCTTATAATTGGAAGAAAGTACACTTTGTTTTTATCGTGACTCTTGGTGAGATAGTTTGAAGCGGACTAAAATACTTCGCAACAACTTGGCTGTTTTATTTCACTCACAGACAGATGCTAAATATATTTGGTAAACATAAACATCAAAGCTTAAATCTTTTGTTCAGTTAATGATCCAAATCCACTTTTACATGTCAAAGTATTCACCCAGCATTACGAATTACCACTTGTAATGGCTGATGCTTAATTGTTAGTGCTCTGAATGAACAGCAGTTAAACAATTAAAAACTGATTTGTCTTTATGCCACTTTAATTGGCCTAATAGGAAGCAATACACAACCACCATGATGCCTCTTTTCTCCTGTTCACACAGAGCGCTTCTAATTCTTCTCTGAGCTGACTTTGAGCTCAAGCATTTAATTACTCTTCATTGAGACTATGTGTGTGTACGTGTGCGTACGTGTGTGTGTAGGTTTGAAACTGTGCGCCAGCACTTAATTACTCTGTTGCAGCATGTCAGTGAGGGTTTTTACAGTGCAGCAGAGCAGTTAACCTTGCACTGTAGCTGCAGTAAAGCTAACGGCTGCTAACTGAGGTAATACTTATCCACCTAAGGACCACAGTCACTAAGAATACAGTTCCAGCTACAGCTTGCTTCCTGAAATGACTAAGTGAACAAAGGGAATAAAAACTTTCTTTTTTCCCCTTTTAGTATTTTAAAAAGCATTTTCTCTGCAGGTTGCACTGTTGAACATTGTGTGACTGTGGTGCTAACCTCAGTGTATTTTTAACCCGTTGGACTTCTTCACCACATTTAGAAACTTCACTGGTCAGTAATAATGGTTAATATTAATGTGTTAAAAGACTGACACTGAAAATGACGGATAATGTACAAACTCTAATAAATAAAAATCTATTCACTATGTCAGCTGAGAGCAGAGTACTGAGGCAAACACAAATTAAACCAACAAATCCTCCAACATTTGTCTGAGTTGTTTTTTCTACTTTCTTGCTTTAGTTGTGTTTATCTTACTGCCCACTTTTATTTTTGTATGGTATGTTTTGGTTTAGGCACCAACACCACTTGGTTAGCATTTAGGCTACGTCCACTTTTTTCAGTTGTTTTCACAGAGTTGTGCATCCACAAACGGCCGAAAATGCTTACGTTCCACTACCGTGCATGCATGAAACACAAGAAGATTCGACCTGCCTCATTTAGTCTGTCGCTTATTTACTTTCCGGCTCTGTGAAACATCGCGGCAAAATGTTGAGGAAAAGCACCGAGTTGTTGCTGCGAGTGACACAAAAGTACAAAGTTGCAAAATCGAGTGAGAGTTAAAGAATTTGAAGAAAAGCCACCTGGAGCATATACAAACTGATACTAATCTTTAATAGGGCTGTCAAAATTCAGAGCAAACAAAACAACTGCTGTATAATGCCCTCCGCTATCTTAGTTTAACTGGTCGCAGCCATGCGACCAGTTAAACTAAGATGACTAACATGCCTCATCGTTTTAGAAAGTCTGCGTTTTTGCGACGCGAGAGCACCGTTTCCAAATGTATGCGTTTTCAAGAGCGTTCTCAAAACGCTGCATTTTCCATCAGCGAAAACAGTCTCAGTGTGGACGGGTGGCAAAAACGGAGAGTGAGTGTGGACGGAGCCTTAGTGTTACCAGTGTGCTGAGTTCTGCCCCAATAAAGTTGCAAACATCAGCACACAAGTCTTAAAGCCGAAAAACGGAGGTTTCCACTTCTTACTTTATCTGAATCCTCAAAAGGTTCTCCAAAACTTTGCAATTAGGATTTAGAGCAAGTTAGGTTGATTGATTAATCTGCAGCTGCTCCTGTTCATTTGTCGAAGTGCCTTGGGCAAATGAACTTAGAGTTTCCAATGTGTAGAGGTCTGCTTTCAAAGACACCCCTGTCACTATCAATGTGTGAAAGCGTGCGTGAATGGTTAATTGAGAGCAAAACTGTAAGAGATTTATCTGTTAATTTGGAAAAGAGGTGTAAGTGCTATTTATTTGCAGTAGTACTCTAATAGTACCCCTCAAGATCCATAAACAGTAATGAAATTCCCCACGGTCTTCATCAAAAATATCATAAATTCGCCATTAGCTCTCTTTTTGTGTCTGTATGTATCTGTTATATGCAGCAGTGTGTGTGTTTGTGTGTTTGCCAGTGTGTTCTTGTGCTTCAGACATTGAATCTGTCATTCTTTTTTTCTATCTCATGCCCTCCGCCCTCTCAGACAGAGACTCAGTCAAGGTAAGTCCTTCCTTTCTTTATTCCCTTTGTTAAAACAAGAAAAAAAGACACGTTTAGAGCATAGCTTCACTTCTGCTCGCTCAACTTCTCTGTGTCATTTTGTACTTTGAATTATTATTTTTTTTGTTGATATAAAAGGATAGACAGGTTTTGATTTTTATTCATAACGCACACAAAAAGCCTGTCTGTGATGAAATCTTGATGTTGGCTTTAAGGATGTCTATGTGCACGTCTGTGTTTATGTAAAAGAGACTGTTAGAGACAGCCATCAAACTGAAAACAGTTCTGTGACATTTCCAAGATCCTAAATATTTACACATGTAGTATTTGATTTAAAACATTACTGTAAAATGATATTGTTAATATGTTCCCACAAAGCTCCGAACATGTTGGACTGGCGACATGTTCGGGGTGCATCCTGCCGCTTGCCAAATGACAGCTGGGATAGGTTCCAGCCCCCCTGCCACCCTTAATTGGATAAGTGGTTAAGAAAAAGAATGGATGGATGTTCACACAAATGTCCTATTATGAAATTTTATTTTATGCTTGTCAATGTAATTGGAAATGAAAATGACCACACTAAGGCTTAAAGAAAACATTATAAGCTTCTGATCTTATTGTCATTTTCATATTCTTCACTTGTGCTTTTTGTGTGATAAAAATATCAGATATGGGAAACTGGTAACAGCTCGGGAAGAAAAAAACAAAACAGTGTGAAAGAGAAACCCCAAGGTGAGCAGAGAAGAAAGTGGGGGGAAAAAAGCACAGTATGGTTAGTGAAGGAAGGAGGGAGCAGAAAGAGGCAGCGCAACAGATCACTGTTCTATCCAGCGCTTGTAGTAATTAGTCCCTTAAGCGCAGCGTTTTTCCCAAGGCAAACATTTGGTTTGTTGAATACTCAATGAGCAGATTAGCATTTCTTTATACCAGCAGCCTGAACGCACACACTTTTACACAAACATGCATGAGTTTAGAAGCCTGTGCATGTGTGTGTGTGTGTTCTTTGGTGTTTTGGAGTAGGCGGAAACAGGAGGAATGCTCTAACTGGAGGTATGTTTGTTATCTCTTGCCCCCCATGTAGTTTTCTCCTCCTCCACACACACACACACATGTTCAAACACACCTGGATGCACATGCACATACGCTCAGAGGTGTAGGCACCATGATGGGAGAGATTAGCAGTGTGTGTGTGTGTGTGTGTGTGTGAGGTCACAAGAACGCTTTGATAAAGATAGAGAGAGGCCAGAATGATGGATGCCTTTCATTAGTGCCCTGTGAGAACACACACACACACACACACATGCAGAGCTGCTCTTTGACATGGCGGCCAACAGTCACTTCATGAAACCAATAAGCCCCTTGTCAGTGGTCTGCAGTTGCCTTGGCAACAGTCCACAGAGTACAGTGTGTGTGAATTGCATGAACATCTGTGCCTTAATGTCCTTGGCGTTAGCACCTCACACACTGATAAAGCTACGTGAATGTAAACGCTACTTGTGTGTGTGCTTATGTGTGTATAGACGCCAGTACAGGCAGTCAGTTATGCAGTTACTTTATGGTGTGTTCAAGGACTACAACTTCACAGACCTGATTATGAGTACACATTAATTGCTGGATCAGTGGTCAATGACAATTTTATTTTAATTCTGTGTTTTTAGTGTTTGTGGCTTTTTTTAAAAGTCATTTCTGAAATGCCAATTCTCACAAACAGGTTTTCTTTTTTTTAATCACCTTAAGTCAAATTAGACGCGTAGAATCACATAGTAACATTGTAACCATCTTTGTCTGTCTGCGGGATTGTTTTTGTCTTCTTTTTAAAAGAAACAGGAGGAATACATTTCTAATGAGGTCGCTTTCAAGTTTAGACTGACCTTTACAGTTAATCACCTGTTGAAGTATAAATGCAGTGCAGCTTGTAGTTTGTGCGATCGCTACAGTGGTCTTCTCTTTCTATGCTTTTTGTGTTGAATTTTGTCGCTGGTAAACAAGCTGTACAGATGCAGTCTGCTTGTCTTTGTTTATGCCGGGATGCTCTTTAAAAGCTCTGCATACAATGTGCAGTCTGGCTTGCCATGCTGTGTTGGCTGCAGAATAATAAGTGACAAATTGAGCTGAGCAGAGTGAGAGAACTATTAGACAAAATTACATCAAGCCAGAGTTCTAAAGATTTGGGGTTTTTACAGAAATCATTTGTGCAGAGCCCCCTGTGGTCCAGCATAGAAAAAGACATATTCGTTTATAAATTTGCAATTCTTCGATCTGTGCAAATTTGCTGATGACTTCAGAGAACAAGAACGTTCCTTGTACTTTAAATAGTTTAAAACTGAAAGGCTGGTTTTGAATTTATAGCACAAATATGGACACTCTGTGAGGTAAATCTACCCTTAGATCTAGATAAATTGGACTTACTTGGGCAATGTGATTATCGCTAAAATGTCTCTGAACAAAGAAGTTGCTTCTTTGGAGAACAATATGAGAGGATTTACACATTTACACACGTTTTTCATGCTGCACATGGGGAAGTTCTGTGTTTTTGTGCATGTTGATGACACAGGATTTTCAGATAGCATGCTATTTAGTATTTTCTGTGATAAAGTTTGGCAATAATTTGATTGAACAAGTGGGTCTGTGTGTAATCTCTATAAAAACACATCTTCTTATAAATATGCAGTTTGTAAGTAAAATGTATGATTTTTGGCACCTGGAACCTTTCTGGCTTCCATCTGGTCGTCTGCTTGTAGCTCTAATCCTGAGCAGGATTTGGTTGCATCTAGTTAAACAGTCTCTGTGGAGAGCAAAAGAAAAAATACATTTGCTCAAATGCAATCTTGAAAAAGCTTAGTCTTTTTATTACTGTACCTAAAGTCTTGTGTGTCCACTGGCTACACCAGAAACCCCTCAAAATTGACCTGTTGCTCCCAGTGGAAGACTAGAAGCGGAAGACAGACAAAGTTAGAATTTTTGAAAAAGGTGTCAGACTCAGGTGCAGCAACTTCTCAGTGTCAGACTGCATTTGAACTGGATTTGAACTCTATTTTTATAACCCTGTGATGCACCCCAAACATCCACGCTGAACATAAATTTACAATGCCTAACAACGGCATAGTAACCTCATCCTGGACGTCCGTGCTCCTAATTACCCGCGAGACACTAGGGAGCGAGACTGTTTGTAAAGCTGAAAAATACAAAACACTCGAGGTTGCAGATATCATTATCAGGACCTGCAGAATCAATTTGAAATGGGAGGCAAATATAATTATGATGTGAATGAAAATGAATACTCTCACTCAACCACACCTCAGAGGTCCTCACGTTCATAATGCTCGTGCTGTCGGCAGCGCCTTCATTTGTCTCTGCGGCAGAATTAATTTGCTTTGATGTTTTTGAAAGAGCTAATTTGCAGGCTAATTAATCTAATCAGTCTGGAAATAGAGCGACACAGAGTCAGGGGCTCAGTTTGCCTCGTCTCACTCAAGACGAGACACACACCTGTACACACACTGACTCCTTAACACTGTTTGCACATATGGAGTACTAAAGTACAAGTGCTGCCTGAGCAGCACACTCACGCACACAGACACACACACACACAGTCAACCCCTCACTCCTCCCCCACAGAATCTTTGTCATCAACACTTGCAGCACGGCAAAGGGCAGCGGAAAGGTTACAAGCGTGAGTTAGTGGAAAGGTCGAGCTAAAGGTCCTGCTTTATTTTTCTTCTCTGTCCATCGTCTGCTGGGTAAGAAGGACCTCCCAATGAGTGAGTGAGAGAGAGAGAGAGAGATCAGCAGAGGCAGGCAGAGCTGGAGGGGAAATGTTTAGCTGACCTTATTTTGATCCTTGCTTCTCAAAGAAGATTAATCCTTCAGTAATGGTATTTAAAGGATGCCATATTTGATTAAGAAAGAGAGACGTCAGCCAAGCCCTCCCCGTAAAGCTGCGATGTTGTAGTCAAACTGTCAAGGCTGCGGTGCTGCTTTTGTATTGTGTGATACAGTAAAAAGGAAATTGTTTTGACAGCCAGGGGATATTTTAAAAGCGATACAGAAATCTAGCCGCGGCGTACGTTGTGTCTGCACCGCTCAGCTTTGTCTTCTTGCTCAGATTGTTGACTGGCCGCACGGCTCTCAACACATTCCAAGTTTCTTCTAGCGGTAAAAGCTGCAGCGTACATATTTCCTATCAGTCTGTCCTGGGGAAGATTAGTAATTTATCTCAACTTTTTTTGCCTTTGATAATCACATCTTCTTCGGTGGAGCTTGGATGATTCTTTCTGTGTCCATTTGGTTTGGGTTTCACATCCCAGAAAATGTAACCTAATCTTTAAATGTATGTTTTTGTTGAATACAAACAAATGTAATTTTATATTAATTTTCCTTCTGTCCGGAAGTGTGTTTTGTTGCTATTAGCACAAGTTTGAGTTATATGTGTTTCTGGAATTCAATGTCAATGGAAATGAATGATTTTCTATAGCAAAAACCGTTGCTCTAATAGCTATTTTCCACACATGTCTGAGCAAGAAAACGGGCCTGTTGTTGTCTGATTCTGCCTGATTTCTGATTTTATTATGATTTTCCAGTGCAGGGTTTATGTACTTTACAAACAAAAAAGATCAGTTTTAATCAGCTTCAGTTAAGTAAATGGTTGTTTTTTTTCTTCCAGAGCTCATCTGTCTCTCCATCAGCCAATTTTCGAACTGGAGAGAAGCATCGAAGTTCAAGCGATTATTCCTCTGACAGCAAAAAACAGAAGACAGATGATAAGGAGCTGACCTCCACACGCTATGTGAGTGAATATGCTAAAATGAATAGTTTTTGAGCTGCGGAGAAGATTTATTATCAAGCTCATTAGAAAGGATTAGGGACAGGGAGAGCTCAATTATTCAGTTCTCTTGTGATTACATGGCCCTGTACTGTCATATCTACAGTAACTACACTTTTTTGTCTAAATGAAGTAAACTGAGATTATTTGTTCTTTATTTCAGAGATGAGATTAGGAGAGATGCTAGAGACTTGTAGAAACATGGCGCACCAAAGGTCTTTGAACCAAGGATGATGCCTGTAACTCAGTCAGATGACCCACTGGGATGCTTCTAGTGAATCCATTTTGACCAGTATATTTAACAAATGGCGTGTAGCCTGTGAGCTAGTTCAGGCAGGCAAGTCACATGCTGTACACATGGAACACCCCTCACTCACATCATGTTATATACCAACCATACCTGTTTCAAACCTTACCACCCCACAAATGCCACCTTTAGCCGCTTTGTTAGGTACAACTGCTCAGCTGCATGTTCATTCAAATATCTGATCAACCAATTACAAGTCAGTAACATGCAGACATGGTCAAGATGACCCGCTGAAGTCTAAACCGGGCATGTTTGCTTGTCTTATGAGTCGCAACATTTGAATGGCAGGGTCAGAATATGGCACCAATGATGTGAAAGCATTGACCCATTCCACCTTGTGTTAATGGTTCAGGCTGCTGTTAGTGTAATGGTATGTGGTTAATGTTTTCTTGGCAAACTCTGCCCCTCAGTAGCAAATAGGCATTGTTTAACCCTCTAAAGCCTAACCTGTCACTGGTGTTAGACAGGTAACAGTTGCTTTCTAAAAGCAAGGACTATGCGCTTTTCAGTGATATTAGGGTCATTACGGTAATCCCACGCATCACAGCACCATTGAAGTTTGGTTGAAACAAGACAGAGTGAGTGGTTTGATGGTGCTCTACAGAAAACAGACATCTTATCAGGGATTTGGGTTCATTTTATTGCTTTGTTTTTCCTGTTTTCTGTGTTATTTGTGGCGCCCCGCATGGGATTACTGTAAAGCACAGAGTTGCTGCTTTCAGCAACCACTGGAATTTTCTGATTGGTTCAAGAGTTACGGTAGTTTGATCTAAAAGTTTGATGCCCCCATTGGTTTTAATGGGTTAAACAGCTTACCTTGGTATTGTTGTTGACCGTGTCTATCCATTTATGACTAGAGTGTACCCATCCTCTCGCTGCTTCCAGTAGGATAATATACCATGCCACAAAGCTCAGATCAAAGTGTTTTCTTCATGACAGTGAGTTCACTGTAATCAAATGGCCATTTGACGTGGTGGAGATTCACATCATGGACGTACAGCTAACAACTGTTTGTTGCTATCATGTCAACATTGACCCAAATCTCTGAGGAATATTTTTAGCACCTTTTTGAGTCTATTTCATGAACCATTACATCAGTTCTGAAGGCAGAAGAGTCCAACCCAGTATTAGCAATGTGTACCTAATGATGCCCATCAGCAAATATAACACATGTGGGGTGTGGCCTCAGACTTCTTCTGCTAAAATATATTATTACACTATTTTATGGTCTTCTCTCACAATGAGGGAACTACTTGCTTGTACATGAATTTGTTATTAGGTGTTGAGTTCAATAAACTGATTCTGATTTGTGTTCATATAATAAATTCATTTAAATAAATGTAAAAAAAAAAAGTGGACACAGACATGAGCACACACACTTTTCAACAAAGAATAATTAGCTTGTTGCCTATTCTCAAATCTACATTCTGGGAGCTCTATTTTATTTACCTTTGTATGGTCCTTGTTTGTGTTTGACCCAGGAAAGTGATGGAGAAAAGAGTGATGACAACTTGGTTGTCGACGTCTCCAACGAGGTACAAAATATTACCTGCACACTACCAGTCTACCATCCTGTGTGTTACCTGTTGAGAAAATGTGAATTGTTTCGGTTTAATGCTTACAGGATCCAGTGTCTCCCCGAGGAAGTCCTGCACACTCTCCTCGGGAGAATGGGTTGGACAAAAGTCGCCTGTTGAAGAAAGACCCACCACTGAGCCCTTCCTCAATTGCTTCTTCCAGCAGCACACCTTCCTCCAAGTCTAAAGATATTAATATGGTGAGTCATTTGTGTAGCCTCCTTTTCATTTAATTTCTTTCAAGAAACCCTCTAAATAAAGGGTTAAACAATGCTTATTTGCTTCTGTAAAAATGATCAAATAGTAAATCTGGCAAACTGTAAACCACATGAAAGATGTAAGATAAAATCCAAGAGATAAAGGACACTATTCGACATTTTTATAGAATATCAATTTAATGAGTCTTAGAATAAACTGACGCATGAATGCTCCTGCACTGTTATTATATTTGGAAAAAAAAAAGCATAAAGATTTATTTCCATGTCTTTCACCTCTGAAACCCTTCTGTATGTAGAAATCTTTCTTTTTTAATTTTTCTGGTAGAATGAGAAGTCAACAACTCCCGTGTCCAAGTCCAGCACTCCCACATCCCGCTCTGAAGCCCCCACACCCAGCAGTGCCTCCACCACAGGCCTGAGGTCTGCACCCAGTAAATCATCAGGAGTTGAGGCACTGAGTAAGTGTTGCAAGCGTACAACATAAAACATCTCTGCCTGCATCTGTCAGATATGACTCAGTGCAAATACATAAGTATATGTTTTTGAAAACTTAAAAAAAAGCCTATTACCATAGACTAGCTTAACAAAAATCTCTGTATTTAAGACTAAACCTTTGCTTTAAAGCAAAAAAATAACCTTTGTACACTACAGTTGAAAAAGATAGATGTTTGCGTCACAATCTGGCTGTCTTGTTTTGTAGCTCCTGGTCTTCGCACACCCCTGGCAGTGCCCTGCTCGTACCCTGGCCCATTCGGAATGGTTCCTCACCCTGGTATGAATGGAGAGCTGAGTGGAACAGGAGCAGCCTACACTGGCTTGCATAACATTTCCCCACAGATGAGTGCAGTGGCCGCGGCCGCTGTGGCAGCCTACGGACGCACACAAGTGGTACCTGAACACTCACAGATGCATGCAGACAGCAGACGTAAACATTAGCTACCTATTCTGTCAGTGTTAAAAATGTACTTTAAAGACAAAAATGATTTAGTGGAAAACAACTAATATTGGGATGTTTGGGGATTCTAATAATTAGTCAATTTTTTGCAAGTTATTCTATTTAGGTGCGTTTTTACGACTGTATTTTCAACCGTTTATGTCAGGTGTGAAATGAGAAACTGTCCTAAAATGGTAACCATGTATGAACAAATATTCTCTGTGTGATGACAATCTTTCACCAGGTAGCAGGTAAACACAGTACCGTTAACTACCATCCCCACTGAAACTATGCAAGCGTTTTTGAGAGATTAAAAACTAAACTGAATTAGAATAAAAGCTAAAAATGGTGGTCTCACCAGGATTTTATTATTATTTTTCAGTTGACTGTTGCTTAAATCTGCTTTGAAATGCTGGCATGTATCTTGTACCAAAAATTTTGATTGGAAATTTACTTCAAGGTAATTTAGGAGTACAACTTCATTCAAAAAAAATGCATTTAGTATTTCAACTTTTAATTAGTTTTAAGATTAATCCCAATGGTATGCTTATGTTCAATTAGTAGGAAAATGCTTAAAAACATTGTGCAAAAAAAGAAATGAAAACTGTTCATGGCGATGGTTGAGGAGGTTGAAGCAGGGCAACATGTGGTATTTACTCAACTAATGAGTTGATGAGCAAAGCAAAACCTGCAGCTAAGGAGTGTGGACAAGGTAGAGCATAAAGACTGAACTGTTTCTGACGTTATTATAACCACATATCATGATTCACGAAAAAAAAGTAATTGCAGCCATTGAAAAATCTCCTGCCTCTAGAGCACACTTACCAGGATTTTCCAATAATGCAAGAACAGGCGAGGGCATTTGTTTCTAATTTGACATGCTATTTATAAAAAAAGTCCTTCTCTTAATTAATTTTAATCCTCCTGTTAATTCAAAACACCTTGATGTCTGGCAATTAATTCCTACTGGGTATCTGTAATGACCCAACATAAACAGTGGGAAAATCACTTAGGTTAAGTCTAGACTTTTCTGAGAGAGAAAATAATTTCCACATCAGAGTGTTTTTTAAAAACACCTACTTGCGCTTGGTTTCTGCTTGAGTCATAGCTGGGATTAAAACTGATCGTTTGTTAATTTTATAAATGAGGTCGCTGGATGTAAAAACACACTTCCTTTCCTGTCACGTCACTATAAATGCCTTCCTGCCCTGCACACCTGACTTCATTCGAGTCTTCTATTTGTTTAAGCATTTTTGTATATTTTAAAAACGTCTCACTCTTGTGTTCTTTAGGTAGGATTTGATCCTCACCACCACATACGTGTTCCTGGACTTCCTCCTAGCCTGTCGGGCATTCCTGGTGGAAAACCGTAAGTCTTTTTTAGTCTTTCTTAAATGGCATAATCATACTGAGAAAGTTCACAGAAACACACATATATTCCCCTCTGCTTATGTTTTCTTACTTTTCTCTCATCACCCTTTATCACCTCACACGACCCTTTTATTTTGCTTCAGAGCTTATTCCTTTCATGTGAGCGCTGACGGACAAATGCAGCCTGTGCCTTTTCCTCCGGATGCACTGATCGGCCCTGGTATCCCGCGCCATGCTAGACAGATCAATACTCTCACCCACGGGGAGGTGGTGTGTGCCGTTACCATCAGTAACCCTACACGTCACGTTTATACCGGCGGCAAGGGCTGTGTCAAGGTGTGGGATATCAGTCACCCGGGCAACAAGACCCCTGTTTCCCAGCTGGACTGCCTTGTGAGTTCAACACATTGGTTCTCATGTAACATACTTTTAGAATACCACTTTTACAGCCACTAGTTGCTTGCATGTATACATTTCAATGACAGTTCTTTTTTGGCACATCAGAACAGGGATAACTATATTCGATCCTGTCGGCTACTTCCTGATGGACGAACTCTTATCGTTGGGGGAGAAGCGAGTACTTTATCAATCTGGGATTTGGCTACACCGACTCCTCGGATCAAAGCGGAATTAACTTCGTCTGCACCTGCATGTTATGCTCTGGCCATCAGCCCGGATTCCAAAGTCTGCTTTTCCTGCTGCTCTGATGGAAACATTGCCGTCTGGGATCTTAACAACCAGACTCTGGTTAGGTAAAGAACTGGGGAATGTAATTTAAGGTTATTGAATTATGCTGAAAGAAAAAAAGAGAGAAAAAAAAAAGAACCTGCTATTAAACCAAAACAGCATCACATGTTGGCTACCCATTAGTTTAGTCAAGATGCTGATCTGGTTGATGTCAAGCCAACTTGAAAGAAAAACAGTATTGTTAGTTATGGGTTTGTCTGTTTCTCTGCAGGCAGTTCCAGGGCCACACAGATGGAGCCAGCTGCATAGACATTTCTAATGATGGGACCAAGCTTTGGACCGGAGGTCTGGATAACACTGTCCGGTCCTGGGACCTGAGAGAGGGACGCCAGCTGCAACAGCACGACTTCACCTCTCAGGTACACATTTATACACGTACTGCATCACGTGACTATTGGGAGCGAACATAATGAAGCAGTGTGGAATTTGTTCCACTCCTCCGGCAGCTTTCAGGTGTGTGTTCAGGGTTCAGAAATTTGGGTTTTGCACGGACGTCTATTATTATTTGGTGGTAAAATGCCACAGATGAAAATTGTGCACCCCAGGACAAGTCACTGCCATTTGCAGTTTGTGTGATTACTGTCTCGGGTTTTGATTTATTGCAGTCATTTACAAGCTCAGTTCAGAACATTTAACCCACACTAAAAGCCCGGCTGAGCCCTGTCCTCAAATACTTTTAACACTAATAATATGTGCAGGTAGAATTTAGTTTTTTCCCCCTTGTGAGTAGAAAAGCAGCAATAATAGACCATTACTGCAATTTTCCTGAATAGAGCCATTTCAGTGTGCACATGAGGAGGTGAGTGTGCAGTAAAGAGAGCTCAGAGAGGACAGTCATGGCTGATAGAGTTCTTAGGCTTTCCAGTAATGTCAGGTCTAGCCCCACTCCCCCCTGCTACAGCTTGAGCAAATCTGGAACCATTTGACAGAGAAAAGAAGTAATGGTTTACCAGTTTTTACAGCTATCAGTTGTATCCTGTGCGTGCATTTTGCTCTTCCATGGTGTAAAAATGGGATTTTTAAAAAACAATGAGGACTTAACTATTCATCTACCTCTTTGTAATGTAAAAGGTTGAGGTATAGGACTATGACATATTTTTGGAACATCTATCTGTGCCCACCTCCAATAGACAGATGCATACCTTACCCTAATATAAGAGATATACTGAGTATTATTTACACAGAATATAGGGAGACATAGCTGTCATTAAAATGGGTATGTTGGTGTTGGCTGCAGATCTTCTCACTGGGATACTGTCCAACGGGAGAGTGGCTGGCAGTTGGGATGGAGAACAGTAATGTGGAGGTGTTGCATGTCACCAAACCTGACAAATACCAGCTCCACCTGCATGAAAGCTGTGTGCTGTCACTCAGATTTGCGCACTGTGGTAAGCATAAACAACTTTATTGAGATGATTCTGTTGTCACCAGTATTTTGCAACATGAAATGAATATATGTGCCAGGTCTTGAGATGTTAACGATGAGATAATGCTTTAGCACCTGAGCGAGCAAATTAACCTTCACTTAAATAATTTACTTTGGCTTTTAAAGATTTAAAGCGTTTTTCGTTGCCGTAGCCTAATGCAGTTGTCGATCCTCTGCAGGGAAGTGGTTTGTAAGTACAGGAAAAGACAATCTGCTAAATGCATGGAGAACCCCATATGGAGCCAGCATATTCCAGGTAAGTGGGCAAGAACACAACCATGGATGAAAGGCAACTGAGAGGCCAAGTGCAGCGCAGCGTAGTAGCCAAGAGTTATGGATTTTAGAGAAATAACCCAGGTAGAGATATCAAACACCGCTTTTGCTCACTGATTGTAAAGTTTAGCTATCAGGGTTCTATATAGAGGACCCAAGAGTATGACACAAAAGACAGATGGTAAAAAGCAAAAGATGAGCTTTAGTCACACAAGGAGATTCAAGGTTATAAAAAAACAAGCACAGGGAGCAGCTGATGCAGAATCCTGGGCACTTACCGTTATTTCTAAAAAAAGACATACATTGGGACTAATCTGGTGCAAAACGGAATTGAGCAGCAGAACACCAAAGAGCTAAAGCGCTAGGTAATGTGAGACTGGGAGTAGCCTGCTGATGGGGCTGATTAGATGAATAAAAACATATGAGAGGAACAGGGAAGAACAGGTGATGCAGCAGGTGGGAAAGTGAAGCAGGTGAGAATCAATTATGGGAATAAATAAACTGGACTGAATGAATTACTCGATTAAAAACAAAAAACACGCAAGTGGGGGTGTTATTTCTTATTTTTAATAAAGAAAAATAAGAACTCTTAACAAGTCATTCTTGGGTATTCCTTGGATGAAATTACTTTCCTAATGAAAATACAACAGTCTGTATGACTGAACTTTTGCAGCTATTGTGAGTTCAACAACCTTCTGTGTCTTTACAATAACAAGAAAGTCGTGTGTCTGCGTAGCCTTCATCTTTCTCACCCTTTTTATACATTTTCTTGCATCTTTTATTCCCCCGACAGTCAAAAGAATCATCCTCTGTGCTGAGCTGTGACATCTCCATTGATGATAAGTACATTGTGACGGGATCAGGAGATAAGAAGGCAACTGTCTATGAGGTCATCTACTAATAGCTGTGCTTGTTAAACAAGAAGGCCATCCTTCCATCCAACCGTGAGGTCTCCTTCATCTGTGTAAATTTTTTTATGTGTATAGGATAAACCTAAAAGGAACAAACCAAACATTTTCTTGGACCATGACTTCCTGACCTTCTGGCTAGTCGAGGATCAAAACCAACAAGCGGACCCAAGCACAGATCTTTTTTTTTTCCTTTTAAGTGACTTTGTGTTATTGTGAGGATGAGTGAATGCTGTTGGGCTGTTAACATTCCTTTATGTTACCTTTCACTTAAGCCTCTTATATCATTTTTCTTTTTTCAGTGTGTAGACTGTAAAACAAGCATGACTGTTCACATACATACTAATCTGCCTGTGTACTTTATACATACATGGAGGCTAAAATGTATGCAAACTAGGTGGCAGATCAGAGCCGTAGTGCTTCTGGGCTACTCTGGAATATCAACAGCCAACCTGCACACAACTAATGCTGATGGTGTAAATAAAGGGGCAACAATTTGGTTACTTTTTTGCCATTTATATTGCCATGTGTTTTGAGTCTGCAGCTGAGCTTTCTTCCCATTTTGACATCCCCTCATTATTTCTGTGCTTAACTGCATCCTGCAGAAGTGTCGCCTTAATTGTGACGATGGCACATTCATCCAAAGGGTGCAGGACACACAAAAATATAGCACTTGCGCACATGTGAATGGGTTTTTTCAAGCAAATATATCAGAGGCTCCGTTTTTTAAATGGTATCGAAATGTGAGACAGTATATTCATCTTTAATTGGTTAGTTATGGCTTGAATTCATGTACAGTGTGTTATTTCAACACACTGATTTTTCCTTCTTTGGGCTATGAATATATACACCTTTTTCTTTTTCTTTTAAATAACAGTAAGAAAAAGCTTCCACCTGTGAAAAACATCAACAAATTTCATAACAATCTATCTAAAAAGGTTGTGTCAGAGCTGCTTAAAATAGTATTGTCCATCAAGAATTAGTTTGGAATAGTTTCTTATTAAACATGTTCATATATTCAGTTTTTTTTAGAGATAAGATCAATAAGACTTTCTGAATGCTAGATGCAGCCAGGAGGACTTAAGCCTGGCTCAGATTAGTATGGATACTCAACTATGCCTACTACAAGATATCTGGTCATTGCTGTGAGATTTTCAGGCAACAAGGATTTACACCTAAAAATATCTGATAAAGGAACACTGCATATGAATATGCAAAATTTGGAGACAAGGGATGATATTTCAGGTACCACAAGCTTTCCGGTTACCATGTGTAGTTAGAATTGATCTATTACTCTGAGGAGACACTGGTTGCATATACATAAAAGTATCCTATTAAATACAATCTAGAAACTACTAGCTGTAGTCTAATGAGATAATGATCATGGTTTTTGTTTTCATTGTATTTATTAGCTTCATTTGTAATTAATGGCTATACTGGATAGTCCAAACTGTTGGCTATTGTTCCATCAGGTGATAAATGAAAGGGTTCCTAGACTAACAGAGTGTAGTGCTGATCTTCTAATCCATTCATTCCCAAACTTAAAAATGTTGCCAAACGATTTGAAATCTTAAAATTTTGTGCGACCAGCCAAAAACAATAATCACAGCTCTCATCAACACATTTTCCCAACAACGATGAGTTAGAAAATACACAAAACATAGGTAGAATAAGCCAGTAACTTAATTCATCAGCTTGACTTTATGAGTATATATATGAGTTCTGGTTATGTTTTAAAATGTAAATATATAAACATACAATATGATCATAAATACTGTTTGGGGGCGTTTGGTTTAGGGCAGGCAAGCCCTTTCAAGACCCAATTGAAATACCTTTGAAGGCCACAAGGAGGCAGCCACAAACGCTTTGGGAAATCACAGCTCTGATCAAAATCTTTGCCAAAAAAAAAGAAAAAGAAGAACTGTTCCTTTAAATACCGTTGTTTGTTTACCTACAGCATCATTTTCTACCTGTGTTCCTGAATTTGTTCTTGTAGTTCAGCTTCTGAGTGAAGTAAGAGCTGTTTGTGTGTGCGTGGGTGTGTGTGTGTGTTGTATTTATTTCTGTATTTTCGACTCTGTGGGCACTGAACAAACTAACAGAATTGCCCTCAATGCCCTCTCTACTGACTGACTTTTGCACTGTCTCTGTCCCTTAGCTCGGACTTCTCTGGATGCTCGCTGGCTTCCTACTGATAGATTTCAGTAAAACAGATTTATTGGTATTTGGAGGTCAGTCACTCCAGCCTGGATTTTCTGTTAAAACCTTTGGGAAAAACAAGTGGTCAGCGATGTGGTCTTGATTTGTCTTGGATTTACGTCTGTTGGCTTGTAAAAATAACACAGTGCCTTTACGCTATACTTCTGCCCTCCTTTTGTCCTGCTGCGTTCAGTTACATACGCAGAACTGAAATGTGTCTCCTCTGTTGGAAGTGTTTTTGAGTGTCTTGGAACATTTAAGGATCCTTTTTAATTACAAGGATCATTTATCAACAGTACTGCTGAAATGATCACAAATTTCCAGAACCAAACTTTATTTCAAACACTTGGAACACACTATTGACCAGTGGAGTTAACCAGAAAAAATAACTATTGGAGTTAAAAAGTGTTTATTCTTTGATATTTGTTGCTGTTTTTAAGCTTTAAAAACTTGTTTGTTGCTTGTAATTCATTTGTGTTATTACATAGTTATAACATCAGTCCCACATCACATTAATCTACAGGAATGTAAACACAACACAATAAGTTACTAGCACAGATTTATGTCACCAAGATTCTAACCTATAATCATCCAATCAGGATGGATGCCAGCTTGTCCTAAACAGGCATTTTAAACTTTCTTACTAAACCGAACTATCAGGAGGCATATGTTAAACAGTAATAATTTTAAATTGAGTGCCTAAACCCAATCTCTTGGTTTAGCTACTGCCAGTAACTTTTGTTAGGTTAGGTTAGTTTGATATGAGATTTTTAGTACTTTGGAGAATTTGGCAACAAGAAAGACTGATATAGACTCGCTTTGTGGATGTACTAGTAGTGCCTGTCAGAATGAATTTGAAGACTATGAATGAAACTGTTCTTATATTACTCAGATCCATCCTGTACTATTGCTGAATTCATCTATTTCCTTTTGAGGTAAATGACATGTTGCCAGCAACGTATTTCTGTAACTCATTGTTTACGCTTTTTGCTCTCATTTCATGAAATGGGAGGGGGGGAAAAAAGAAATGTGACCACATTTTTTTAACTACTGTAAATGACTGCTTTACTTTGAAAATTGATAAAGCACTCATGCTTAGTGTTAACCTGCCTGAGATCTACCTACCTATCTTATTTTAATAAGGTCTTGATTAGGGATGTACTGATATATCGGCAGATTGTTTTAGGAAAAGAAAAGTTTAAATTAAATACATTATATAGAAGCATGTTGGCTATGTGGCAGATTGAAAGAAAGCCTTGTAATAAATGCACTGATCTGAATACAAAAAGACATTTTACAGTATGGTATGTTGAGCTGACTGGATTTCATACAGGAGAGACTGTATTGAAAATAATTTACTGTTATGGCTGTTTTTTGTTTGTTTTTTTACACAGACACTGTACATTTCGAAGGTGGTTATAAATATGTTTTTTCACATTCCTGTTTGCTAAATTCAGCTATGCTTTCTGATCAAAATGACGATTCATTCACTTTGCTGTCTTGAGTGCTCTTTTGCGCTTTCTGCTCTTGAATGAATAAAATCTGGTGTCACCTCCTTGTACTATCTTCAGTCTTCATCTAGATAAAACATTAAAAAGGAAAAAAAAGGAAATGCTCTTTGGTTGTAGTCGCTGTCATGTCAAGAGTCAAATCTGAATGTTACTCATCTTATCTGACTGCTACATGTTAGAAGGCTAAGAAGATCTGGCACAGAAATGTTGTTAAACAGTAATGATGTGTAGAGCATTTAGCTTGACTGGCTATAACTTTACTGTAAACATGTAATTATTCGAGCTTACAGCAGAAATTTCCTGTTACTAGTTGAGCTTTTTTCATTCGATACAAAATGCCTTTGCTCTCTTTTTTCTAGTCTGTGCTTGAATTTATTAAATTACTGTGTGGACTGTTTTGTCTGAGCCTCTTTTACTGTTTAAGCTAGAAGTCTGTAGGACTTGTGTATCGTTTAGGTTCTATTTTATTACCAGATAACATAGTTAATTGCAATTAAATTCCCCCCCAAAAAACACATTGTAGTTGCACTGGAAAAGCATCAGAGAAAGTGTAAGATTTATTGCTACATATTGCAGCAAAAGTATTAGTGACAAGGATCTGAGAGATTTGGGTTTTTTCTGCCAATCAAGCAAGGGATCTTTCACTTGTTAGGTGAATGTCTATGGAGCTGCTATATTTAATGTATTAGGGACTATGTGAAACATAACAATAAGTAGATTTTCCCTACAATACCTGTGTTGGTGGCACCTTGCACTTTTGTATTGCACTCAGTCTAAAAATATTTTTTTAGATAAAGCAACCTACAATAAGAAAATGTTGTAATTAGTTATACTTGTTAATACTAATGGGCATTAGTATTCCTCGCCCCTAACTGTAACTATTCAGTGCAAATGTGAAACCCAGCCACCGCTTGTCTATACATATGCAATGCTGGGATAACTATTTGAGTTAAATTACTAACCCTAACCTGGAATGTCAATCAAGAAATACTGGTCTGCACTATTGTACTGTTTTTTTCTGGTGAACAATAAACAGTCAGGGAATTCCAGATGAGTGAACATCCTGTGTATTACTTTTGGTTCTCTAAATTGTTCTGATGGATGGACTGAGACTGGAGGACAGTCATTAAAATAGTTTTGGGGTTTCTTCATTTAAAATTGCAAATGTCCAATGTAGACATAATTTTTGTCCATAAATCTATTTCCTTCCATTTATCCAATTCAGGGTTGTGGTTTGAGCCTGCCCCAGCTGTTACTGGGCAACAGGCAAGGTACACCATAGATATATCTTTAAAAATAATTAGTTGTGTAATGCACTGAGAAAGGTTAACTGACGCGATGTGGGATATACCCAAAGAAAGTGCACTCAAATTGTCTTTTTTGTTGAGTAGATTACATGGGATTGTTTTTATGACATGCAGGTCAATCACTTGTGTCTCATTTTAAACTGAAAATCTAAGCTGCAGTTTGCAGATTGTCTTTTGTTTAACTGATTTAACATTAAATCTACTAAAACAACCTTCCATATATTCCCATCTTTACATTTTGAAACCTGCTTCAGAATCCTCTTTGCACCGAACTGATAGAATTTAATTGAATAAACTGGTCAAATAAAGTATCCAGTGTGTCCACTGTTGCTTAGAAATCCCACATATTCACTGATTTCAAAGTATTCCTAGGACACAACCATCTATGTTCATTTTAAAGTATACTGTGTGCCCAAAAAATATATTTTACCAGAAAAGATCCCGATTTTGACTGGAGTGTGTAGCAGGCCTTCTCTACATCCATATTAAATGAGCTGCGAGAAACAAGGGTTTCGAGTGTTTTAGTGTGGCATTTTAGTGCAAACTGACAGGTCAGCGTCTCACTCTAACCTCCCATTGTGAACGTGCTGTGTTCACACAGTGCACAGCACTGGACTGCTAAAGTGGATTAAGTGATCTAAGTGAGGGCTGTGGAGGAGGACGCTCCACCATTACAGTGAATGATACTCCTGTTACAGCTCTCCAAACAGTACTTCACACAGCCAAAAGTGGGAGAGAAGGAGGAAAGGTGGGGATGCAATGTGGGAATGAGCCACCCTACTTCAACATTTTATATTAAGAGCACTTGCAGCATGCAAATTGCCCACTTTCCTGACAGACACAGAAGCTGGATTAAACAAACAGGCCACACAATAGCAACATGGTGTTAGTGTCCACGTGGTGAATCACACTGTTGCTAGATATGGCTCATAAAGCAAGATATACTTTGTAACAAAACTGCATATTTCGATATCTAAAATAGGTATGTTTGTGACCACAGATTTACATTTATTCTCCTTCCAAAAACCGTTAGGATTCCAATAATCTGGGGTAGGCTAAAGGATGGGGCTGACTTTGATCAAGCGAAGGGCCACACACGGGATAACAAAACTGTGGTTACAGGTTTTAGTCTAAATTTTACTAACATAAAAGTAAAATCTGTCTAAATTATATGTTAACATTTAATTTATCACACGTCTTTAAAGTGATATCAGTGATATCACTGCAACCGAGTTAACAAGCTGTGCAGACTCACTGTAGTCATTCACCTCGATTCTGTTTCCAGCCCTTGCACCATATTTGCCCATGTGTGTCATAGTCTGTAGGCATAATGTTCGCAGAGTACCACTTAACAGAATCATTGCAATACTCTGCTGACTTCGCACTGTCAGAATTGCTTTAATCAACTCACTGTTTTACAGCTCTGGCAGTACACTCTCGAAAATCTAGAGGATTATAGTAGCCGAGTGAATATTTACTGCAGTTCCAAACAAAGACTGTGAGGGTGTCCTTCAGGACACAGTTCACTAGAAACACTGTGCAAAAGCTCTGCGATCTACTTAGGAAAAGGGATTCTTTAAGCTAGCATCAGATAATGATGTTTAGCAGGATTAGCATTTTAGCTTTGCATGCTAAAGTTGGAGTTTTTAAACTGAAAGTATGTTGATGCTAATAAATTTTGCATATACTTTGTCAGAAACAAAGTTACTGAACATTTATTTTGTAAATTAATCCCACAGTGATAAATAAAATGAAACTTAAAATTTGAGAAAATTTAAAATTTCTTCTGAGTGTAACAGGCAAGTTCTTAGTTTAGTGACAGTACAGCCAACTGTAGCAACAGTTTCCTGAAAATGAAAAGTTATGGGAGAAATTATATCTCAGTCGGGATCAATCTATTACTAGACAAATTCAGAGTTCTTCTCTGTAAAACCAAAGGACATCAAATGACTTTGCCAAAACCCCACCGAAATGAAACTGTAGATAGATATCAAATAGATAACTGACATTAGCTCAAGATATAAACAAGGTATAAACATATATGCAGACAGATATGACAATAAATGACCCATAAAATAAACTTAAACCATACTAAATCAACTACAATGTCAGCTTTAAGAATTACTCTATGGTTTATTCATTCATATTCAACAATTTATTCAGGCACAAAAGCTCTTATGGTTAACTTTAGCTTTTATTTTCATTTCTTAACAAGCCTCATCATCTGGATCATGTTAAATCTGAAAACAGGGGCAAACTTTAGCAGAAGTCCTTCAAAGTCCAGTGTGTCAGAGGTAGGTTTGGTGGGTGTGTTACGCAGTCAGCAGCAATGTGCGTGCAAACTCTACTGTTTCCATAAGACACTGCATGTGTGTCTTTAGTCTTTTATTTCTCAGAGGACACCAAGTGCACAAAGGATATAGAAATGCCAAAGTTTAGGCTTACTGGGATTATATCAGTGTTATAGTACTGTCTTTTATGGCCATGCATTTGGCCAAATCTTTGACTGTCATATCTGACTTACTAATTTTCATCTTATTCCATTTTCTGCCTTGCCTGTACCGTCACATCTATGAAAAAGATTGGATGAGACTACATAGGAGTCAGCATGTCCATTAACTTATCTGGGGAAGTAAATTTGAGAGTGATTCTGTAATGAGATGACAGATTTGTAAGAAGCTTTATACTTTTGAGCAATTCAAAAGCAGCATTTCTCACAACAGCTGATGCTGCTAACAATTTTCTGCTTTGTTACAGGGTGGACTGATGATTAATTCATATCTCTGCCATCTTAACAAGGTTGTGCCCGTTAGTGGGCGAGAGGGGTGGGCACACTCCGCAGGGCTTTGATATCCTACATTCAAGGCTGTGTCACACATTAATGACTTCTTTGAGCTATGAAACGAGCGTCATTATCTCTTTCCAAAAAGGGAAGGATGAGAGATTTCAGCTCAACTTGTATAAAGACAGGGGAGGAATCAGTCATCATGTACTGACTATGTGTGTGTATGCGTGTATGTGAGACACTTCGGCACAGGAATTGGACCTGAGTCAGAGGATGGAAAAGGTAGATTTTGGTGTGTATAGATCTACATAAACCAATCAAGTTTTGGAGGAAAAACATTTAGCTACATGAGCCGAGGGCAGCACAGTGTAGAGGTTAGCACTGTTGCCACTGTTCTCCCTGGGAAAACACAGGTCCTTCTCTGTGTGTTTTCATGTTCTCCTGGTGCCTGTGTGTGTTCTTTCTAGGTAGTCTGGCTTCCTTCCGCAGTCCAAAGACATCCATGTTTGAGTCATTACTGACTTTACATCAACTGAATGTGTGAATGTACGCTATGAAATGAGTTGTCTGTTTTCAAGTGTTAGGCCTGTGACAGACTGAGGGTCCATCAAGGGTGTAGCCCACCTCCTCCCTGATAACAGTTGGGATAGGACCCAACCCCCCTGTGACCCTGAATTGGATGAGCATAAGAAAATGGATGGATGGAAGATAACCTTGATATCTCTGAGGATCATATTGCATCTGCATCTTTTAGGGCTGTAATCAAAATCACACCAAAAAAAAAAAAAAAATCAAAGTTCAACTTATTCAAATATCTGATTTATAACTACCTCAGAAATGATGCCGGAGCATGCTTGAGTGACCTTCCTGTTAGTTGATAAGGTGGGAGAATTTACATCTGTATCATGAGTTGGTTCATGACTTGAAGTATAATTCCAGAATAATTCATTTCAGCTGCTGCTTGAACTGCCATAGAAGTCTAATCACTCGGAAAAAATGAACTGGTCAGGACAAAGTTCAGGCAAAACAAGGATAATGGTGGCTTTTATTCAAATATACCAGTAAGCAATTTCAGTGAGTCAGCATGAGCAGAACCCTGA